CGCAGACAGGTATGCGGTGTTTGCGTCTCGAGTGAGTTGAAAGCGCGACGATTCCGACGAGCGTTTGTCGTTAATGCGGCCACACAGGCCTTTTATCTCGAAAGACGTCACTTTAAGAGGCTAACGCGCAGCTATCTAAAGACGCATCGCCTCGTTCACCTCTTTGGTCGCTGAATAACCTCGCGACCGTCAGATCGTTTCTTATTCCGCGTTATTTAATATCCGAATCAGATGTGCGAAATCAAATACGTAATTGCACTTGCCTGCAAAGCTCGAGTGTGAAATCACGATGCATAAAATAATCGCCACCTCCGCGAAACGAGACTAGCCGCTCATTTTCCTTCAAACTATCTTAAGGATATTAGATAACTGCACCAGCAGACCTTAACGCGCCCACGGCGTGAGCGCATAACAAGAATTAAATTACTTTTGATTTCAAACGGTTTGCGTTGCCAGTTAATTTATTAGCTTTTGAGATATTTCTTGAGGTTTCCGTGAACTTGAATGCTAGTGTCGCCTGACTGCAATTCACCAGCGGTTATGCAAAAGCTAATTAAATGTAATCATAACACGCGAACCGCTTTATTAATTACGGCCCATGGAGCATGCAACGTTGGCATGCAAACGTAGGAAGTCAACTCAGAAGTAGCGGTATGTTTGAGAAGACGCGACCAAAGAGACACGCAGAGATCCAACAAACCATGACGACTTGCCTTTCGTTGTCCTGAACGTCATCTACATCGCGGTAGTCGTGAATAGATTATAATGATCGTTTCATAGAATTCCGTGTGACATTAGATTCGGAAGGTTGTCACGACAACTACTTTGGGACGAAATTTGGAGACTCAAGTCCATAATTTATAAAATAATTATTGTGACGCAGCGCAAACCATACGAAAGCGACCGACCATATCCATCCAACAACCGCACAAAATAATAAATACTTTATAATTGCTAGTAGAGTTGGCCCAGCTAATAGGAGCCGTTCTTTCCTGGTATTTTTCTAGTCCCAAATATCGCGTAAAAAACATTTGGAAAAAATGCGGCAAAAACGAGCCTCATCTTCTTTCACATAGTTAGTCATTATCATTATCGCTACGAGATTATTTCAGATTGTCACACAATGGCCCGTTCGGGTCACAAATGAATAAAACGTACGATCGCATCTCGGACATCTTTGCGAGATAAAAACGTTTCAATTTCTTTTGGTGACTCCTCTTATTTCGGTGAGATAAAACTATTTTAACAGGCGCTCAGTGCGCAGCCACGTCGAGCAGCATAGGACAGTATTTCAATCAATACGACAAGAAGTAACTAGATAAAATCAGAGGACCGAGTTTTTGTTCCCTTTTGTAGAACTTTCTCAAGTTTTTGTCTTGTTTTTATTTTACTGCCGCTGAACGTTGTTTGTCCTTGTGACCATTATTCTCCTCATTCTTTGCATGTGGAGCTTCTCGTGTTGTGCGTTGCTGTGGCTGGACTCTGTGGCGTTGTCTAATCTTTGTTGACCCCCCGGCCCAATGCACTACAATCCGTGCGCGTCTTCAACTCTAGAGCTCCAAGCTGTTTTCGAACATCACATGCCCGTTCATTGGTTTCTACCTGCTTCTGCTCTTTTCTCTTTAGGCGTCCGTGTGTGTGCGTTCAAGCTAGGCTTGAAGACATTACTCGGTTGCACATGCTCTGATGCTTGGCTTTTCCGCTGCGCTTTGATTGCATTATAAGTAACAAGTGTCTCGACCAGGGCCCGGGCTTGGACTTGGGTCGCCTTTATTACAGCCCGAGATAAATTCCGAATTATATCGTACGATTATCGTGATTATAGGGAGGGCATGGCGCAACGACGCGGCGCGGCAGCACCATTACGAAAAATTAAATCCGAGCGGTGCCGCTCGCCATTAAAAGCCCATGCCGCGCAAGCACCACGCGCCATAATGCCGTCGTCGGCTAAAGAGCTGTAGGAACAAGCGGAAGAAAAAAACGTGCTGTTAAGACGCACGCATAGGAAGCAGACTTGCCGAGAATGACTGAATTAGCAATTTCGGCGTGTTCTTGCTTGCTGCGCCGCGACGCAGGAGGTACCCGCTTCGAAAATAAGAGATTGTCGTAAAAATTGACGACGCGTCAAATGTTCATTTAGTACATGGATGCGTGCTCGACGTGTGCAAATTCCCTAATTAAATTAGTTTATAGCTACGGACGATGTTAAATTTAATGCCGACGGCAGTTTTTCCTTTTTGAGCATTTTGCACAATGTAATTATCTTGCAATTTCATTGTTCCGTGCTGAGATGCAAGTTCAGACTGCTACACCCTGTTATTATACACAAGTTCATTACAAGAACCCAACAAAATTGTTACTTCATAACAAACATTTTATCAGGTTCTGTTTTGTAATCCAAATTCTAAGCACTTTTCTACTCGTTTTGAGAAAGTTCTAGTACATGTACAATCCTAAAAGTTAATTATCTGAATCGATTGTCATTGTACTCACGTTTTCAGTGTCCGCCATTACGCTAAGTAGAAAAATAACGTAGCATACTAATAATAACTGCATCCACGAATATGGAAAATGCGTGCGTGCGCTGGTTCGTAATAGGTTCTCGGGGTGGTCTTGATTGATCTTCGTATTTCGTGCCTTTCCTAGACGCTATGCCGCGTGGGCACAGCGTGTGTACACGTTTACATTGCGATAAAATGCATCCATCGCATGCGTTTGCATGTCCGACCTGACTGGCATGTACGACTTCCGATTCCTGCGGTTTAAAGGGCGCGAAATGGGCGATCCAGGCATCACTAACTCGTGTTGGCTGGCTCCCCCTTTTTGAATTTCGAATTCGAATTCATTTGCTTTCGCATCGCAGTCAGAATTTAGGGAATTCGTTTGCTCGCTTTCCTTGCTAGGCATTCGTCGCATTTGAATATATATTGGGCGATGACGCGGCCGATTTAGATGCGTGCACTCGTCACTGTGCTCACCAAACGAGCGGGCGGCGCGAAGGAGCAAGCTGAGTGCACAATAATTGTTTTTGTCCCGGGTTATTGCTTTTTGCTGCGATCTAGCGCTGAAGTCGTCAGAGCACGTCCTGCTGTTATGACCGTGGCGGTTAAGACGAGAACACTGAAAATGGCGCTTACATTGTGAGGGTTAATCGAATGAACGTCTAATATAATCGAATATAATCTTAGGAGAAGATGGAAAACGCTCTCATGGGTACGGGAAGCTGGTGCCGCGGTACTAACACTTTCGCTACCCGGCAGAAGATGCATAGTTTTTGCACAGCGATGACTTGCAGAATATTAATTATTATTGAAATCCGCGTTTTTACTTCACATTTCATATTATCACAAATAACCTCTCTTGATTTTCATCGATCAATGTTAATAGCAACAAAATAATGAAAAATTATAAGTCATGTCAGAAAAAATTAACCATTGCTACTCGCAAGCTGGAAGCGCTAGAAAAAGTAATGTTGGCTCAATGAGTCGTCGAAAAGTTTCAGAGGTGCCGAACGTTACACCGATCTCGGTGGCAACCTGTAATGTCTTATAGCCGTTCATGAAATAACAGAACGCCCATGACCGAAAATCGACTGTGAATTAATCAAATCGAGGAGTCAGGTCATCGTGTTCAACACGGAGAGCAACTCAACTCACTGTGTGACAAATTAGTTTTTTTTTTAAGTTTAAATTATTCTTATAATAAAAAAATGAAGAATATAAAATAAGTAACTTCACGGAAAGCGCATCAAATTTTACTTCCTCTTAAAATATTTTAGTAGTCACGTTAAATTTGAAATGTAACAATTACTTAAAAATCTGTTAGGTTCAAGCAGCTAAAGTCTAGCTTGGTAGATTGACGTTAGTTAGGGATGTAGGAAAACAAACGCAAAAAGCAAAAGCCGCGCTCCGGTACGGAAAACAACACTAACATGAAAGAGGCGAAAAACAAGACACAAACACACGCGAGCACCATAAAGTGAGAGCGGCATGGAAGCGCGCAAGCAGAATTTCAAATTAGCCATCGCGCGCGCCATCGGGATTAAAAGGCAAAGTCGACGGGCGGGCTGGCGGGCGGCGGCGTTCTATGTTTTCCATGTTTTATACGTTGTCTGTCTGCCTCCCGCCTCACCGTTACAGGAACATCCTCGAATACATGTGCGCCAGTCATGTACATATGGCACCGAGGAAATGCGAGGAAACTTTTGCGGAAACCGACGACGCGTCGAGACTTTAAAACGACTTTTTTCCTGCCCAAAATGCGATCGACAAAAATTCGCTAAATTTCTAAACGAAACAACTTTAAAAACGACAATGATGAAACGCTGCCGCTTCAAAGTTTCAAAGAAAAGAGTAAAAATGTTTCTTTTTCATTTTGAAATTCTCTGCGGGAGACCGAACAAGTAAAAACCAAGTTTCTCAAGTTGAAAAAACAACGTTTGGGACGTGAAGTCTTGCACAAATATTGGCAGTCAATACTTCATCTCTCCAAGACTTGTCTCGCGACTTCTCATCTTCGAGAAAATCCTCTAGAGATTCGTAGACGAAGGGAACATTATTCAAATGTTCCGTCATTGTCCGAGCTGTCCGTCCACGCCAGGATCTTGTGTTTTCGAGGTAAATATTGCTTGTCTTGTGTAAATTAGAATTGGAAGTTGCACAGTGATTTTCGTTTCGAGTATCGCAAGAGACGTTTGCGTGTTTACTCTTTATCTTTAAACACGTTTTTCTTTCATTTATTACAGCATGTGCATAAGAGTGAGCATCGTATCAAATCGTTAATTTCAAATGTTTAAGCATTTCTTAAAGCTATGCTTGAGGTAAACATTTACAAGACTTTGAATCAACACAGAATGTTTTAAATAAACAAGTGAGCTCGAATTGCTTAGTTGCCAATAAACCCACGCCGCTTTGAAACAACTATATATTTTTTCAAATATCAAACATCTTAAACGTTTGTTTGACCAAACTTTGAAATATGGCGAAAGGTTTATAACTTACCCTTTCCAAACAAGTCGCACGACACTGTGCGACTCTTAAAGGACTTCCGACATCCTGTTCGTGACCAAGAAAGATGGCCGTTGCGGTTGTCGGCGCCTCAAACAGGAAAACCGCCAGCAAGCTTATCAGCACGCAGGCCGCCATGGCTCCCGCAATTCAAAGCCAAACTCAAAAACTCGCGAACAAAAATGAAACTTTCAATTTATAAATCCTCTCCGTGTTTGGATGTGGTGGGTGGATAACTTATCGTCAGCGGCACCGATTTTCGCACATAACAAAAGCACCAAATCAATGAAAATAAAAAATGTTGAACTCGCACTAAAGCACAGAACACGCGTTTGATGAAATATTGTGAAGGTGGCAGAATTATCCTTTCATTCCTAAATCTCGTTGGTCGATTGTTGTCGGTGGCAAAATTATGACTTGTGTCGGCGTATGCATGAAGTCAATACGAAATTCGTACGCGCCAAAGAAGGTAGACCGCTTTCGCGTCCGGAGCACTCGACGTTCCGGACTGAACTGACGATTCCCGACGAGCTCCGCTCGACGCTGGCAGTGAGACTGAAGTTGAACGCGGAGTGGTGGGATTCGTTTGCGAGTATACCAAGAAGAACCGGCACGTTTGGTGTGCGCCGGTCTTCGGCGAGCGCATGTGGTCGTCCGAAGAGGGAAAGAGGGACCACGGGTAGTCGGGGAATTGGAATCGTACAGACGGCGCCACCTAGCAACAATTTTAAGAAGTATTAACATTAAATGTTATATTTATAAAATTAAAATATGCAAATAAACAGATAAATAATTAAGTTAAGTTATAGAAGTAGGATTTAAACAATTCATTCTTCAATTTGGAATCATATTACTCTGTTTTGTCCTTCTTTATGTTTCTACTGCACTATCAGTTGTGCAGACTTCGCATTTGCATGCAACCAAAATTATAAGACACATCTTATCGTTTCGAAAATATATGCAGAAAGCTCTCTGGCTACTGCCGCTACTACAAGCAGATACCCAAAAAAGCACACGAAAGGCTCGCCTCTCGAAAGTTACGAGCGCATTCGACGAAAACACAAAATTCATAAAGAACAACCAAACCGATATCGTTCCACAGCGCCTTCGAAGAAGCTGCATGCTGGGGACAGCAGCCCAAAGAATATGGCGTGACACCGCACGCGCATATCTTGTTTGTCGCATTGTGCAACCATATTTACGAATGTTGTCGGGTTTTTACATTTTTCGGGTTAGCGATAAGCACGCCGATAATAATACGCGTCCCATGTTGCTTCTGCGCTTTTTCGTACCTTCGTATGTTTTCAATACAGACATTACTTTCGCGCACGTCGCACAATCGCAGACGTTTTCGGCAGGCTCTTATTTAAAATTTTATGTGGAAATTTCATGCATCCTTAAGTGATATATAAAGATATCAATTACGAGCGAATGTTTTTGTTTCCATACGCATCCGTACGAGTTTTACGTGCGATTTGAATCGCAAAAATGTTACACGTTTCTTGTTACTTCAGTTGCACACGTATATTAAGACGCATTATGAAGACAATTGCGAGATATGTGTTGATAACAAAATAAAAGAAACACTCGACATGCGAAGACACAACTCAGCGAAAAAAAGCCCAGTTGTGCATAATGAATAATGGGCGATTAGCATAATCACATCTCAATTGCAAAATGTTAAAATGTTAATAATGCTGAAGACAATATGCAATGCAGTATGTAAATGCACTCACAGCGGTTCTGCCATATGCCATTCGAAATTGTAATAGGTGTGTATATATGCAATAATGCAATACAAAACGTAGATATGCAAATTGCCATTATGTTCATTCTATACTTAATTTTGTAAGGATGCGTAAATAATTGAATGCAAACTGTAAAATAGTTAAATAAAAATACAGAAAATAACAAACAAATACAAGAAAAGTATTTCCTGTGTGTTTTAAAATAATAAATGCAAAAAATATTCCAAATTTTTATTCTTTTGCGTTCTCAAGATTTTTAAACATGCATTTTATGTTTTTACTCAGAACTTACAGAACAATTAACTAATAAAAAATTGCTCATTTATATTCACACAGATGCCTACACACAAGTTAGCTGCATGTTAAATTTTGCTTGATATAACCCTGATTTCTCGATAAATCGACGGATGTGAGTAATAAACATGCAATCGTGGAATTGTAAAAGATAATGCAATGAAACGGTGTACACAATATGATAATTAGAGTCCGACCGAAACTGGATTTTTGCCGAAACCGAAACCGAAATTTCGGCTCTGCAATCAGTTTCGGCCGAAACCGAAACCGAAACCGAAACTAATTTACATAAACATATTTTTCTACTTCTACCTACACAGCGCCAGTTTTTCCACGTTTTTTAGATACAAAAACCATCTCGTGAGTAAAGTCCCCGTTTAGTCACTTGATACTTCATATAATATTAATTTAAGTTTCTTTGTGCGAACTGAGATGGCAAGTAACGACCGCCATTAGCCGCGAAGTTAGCCGAGCGACGCACGTCAATTCACGAAAAGTGAGTTTCGGTGCGGCCGAAAGTTTCGGCCAATTTTTGGCCGAAACCGAAACCGAAACCGAAATTTCGGTCGGTCTCTAATGATAATACAATGATAAAAACGATATTTTTTATTGCTTCTTATACACACATAAATTTAAGCCTTAAAATTATGACGAACTTGAACGAAATAAATGTTAATCTTACATATCTATGAGTACATCTATTTTTTTGCAATTCACAAGCACGCAATATTATTTGAACCCTTCGAGTGTATTTATTATACAGTATTCGACGCGTATGCAAATGGCGATCATGCCGCAGTCGCTTGCCGAGCGTGCATCCGAGAATAATGAACGCAATGTCAAAATGTAGAAGCATCGCATATGCATACGGAGTGCAAAGGGATATGCTGCGGGTACAAAGCCGAAATTCATGAAATGAGCATCACTAACAACGCAAAACGTGAGCGAAAATTTTCACAACGCGCTTTTTTTGAGCCGCGCCACGCTGGCTCGAATTGAAAAGTTGATTTAGTGCGCGCCACGGCCAGTTTAAAATAATAATTACACGTTATCGGTATCGGCGTGAGCGTAATTAAGCGTACGAAAAATGACGCCCCGAAAAAGATACACCAGCCTGATATTCATGAATCTGGAGCGCTCGCTAAAAGCTTTTGCAATGCGCTAACAATAACACATTTTTAAGTACCGCTTTGCATATCAAAGCCCGCTTGTGATTTTGCATTAATTTTCAACGCGTTTATTATTATGTTATAATTTTATACCTAAAATGCAAAAATATATAACAACACTCTGTATAAATAAGAAGTGGTTGTAGGTGAAAACGGTGATTTAACTTAACCGCCGAGATTTGCAATCAAACCGTGATTTTTAATTGCGCATTACGTTTTTTATTTCCTTTTAGTTTTCTTTCTTCACTTTAACCTTTTCCTCGGCGTGTAAAACTGAAGGCAGACGCCGCACGCGAACACCCAGGAGTAACAGTACACGAGCTAATCGAATCGATATGTAAATTAAATGCATAATTATATGGGCCTCGAAATGTGATTTCGAGAGATATGTGTGCCTCCAAGACAGCGCGGAGTCGCAAGTTCAAGACCGACTACGTATTTACATACGGAGTCATAAAGTCGAGTACTGGGCGCGCGCGCGTAATTGATTAAATCACAGGATAAAACGGATAGGTGTCGCGGGTTGAGGATGCGAATGTGCGCATCGCGTATAATTTGTCACGAAACCTCTTGTCTTATCGGGTCAGCGGTTGGGTAATAAACGGTTAGTGTCATTAATTGTAAATGTTACTTCTAGCCCTCTTTCGGTTGTCTATTTTATTGTTTTTACTTTTATTTTGAGTAAACAGGGTACTTAGGAAAGGATCTGCTTGTCTATAATCAGCAAATCAATTTTTTTCTTATCAAGACTGAAAAATGATGACGGAATGAGACTTCAATTCTATCTTATCAAAATTAGAACACATTGCAAGAATTGAAATATATTTACTTTAAATATTTCAGCATTTCTTGACTTTTACTTCTCCTTTCGTTTACATTCCACTCAGCGCAGTGCAAGTACGTGTGTATCTAAACCAGGATAATGTTACGCTGTTTCAATAGATACGCTAATCCTCGTCTCGTGTACAAACAGCGCCCATTACGTAACATCGCATTACATCATCGAACGCATCGACAACCTTCCTTCTTTCGTGCTATCAGGCCATCATCAGCGTCGTCTCGTCGTAATATCAAAGTCTCCCATGACTTGGTGTCTATCTAGGTCCTTGTGCTGTTTGCACGTCGCTGGCAATCTTCGACAAACATTGGCATTGTGTGGGTGAGCACTGAAATTATTTGCCCTGTATCCGAGCTTGGCGATATTAGAGTGCATTATGATTAAATTTCATTCGAGCCCAGCGCCGGTCGTCCAACCACGGAGTATCTCCTCGTATATCAATAAAATCAATCTGCAATCTTGCTTGGCTTTTATGCGCCGTGCTTCGTGCTTCATGCTATTAAAGCATTAAAGAATTTAATAAATTCGCCCGGTCAGTTTGATTAGTATAAGATTACCCTTCACATAAATTGTTTTTATGTTTTTCGCATTCTTCTCATATTCTATTTTTGTGTGAAATATGTATCCAATTAGTTTTATCTGGGCCAATTAAGCAAGATGTTCACAAGAGAGTAAGTGCAACTTATTGATTGAAATAGGATATTAAAAAAATCTAAACAACACCAATTAAATTGTTATTTTTAAGAACACATCAAACCACAAGTCGTAATCTTCCGGCGTGTTGGCTTTCTTTGAGAATTAACGTTGCGCGGCGTGCGCTAAGTAGTCTTACGATAATCTCATCAGATATGTTCGTTAGTCTGCGTTCAGTGTTCGACATTTCAACCGAAGGACATAAGAGTTTTATAACTAGCACGTTTTCTTAGTAAGTACCAACCATAACTTAGTACCCACTTCCTACTTACTAAGCTAAGCTTTTTCTTATTTCACTGGAGCGCAAAAGAAAAGTTTGATAGTTTTAACTCCTACGTTAAGTTTGTAAAGCTCTCAAAATATCCGCTTTGGTGACGTCTTTCACGCATCCATATCAAAAGGCAAGTGAAGTATTTCACCCTCTGACGCTTGTTAAAATGTTTGATATCTAATAAATTCATCTTTAGATCCCTTTTTCATTGAATAGGTGTCACAAAAATATATGTCCGTAAAATATATGCATTAATCTTTAATTCCAAATGAAATAATGCTTGAAAGTAGAGAACAATTGAACCTGAAGGTAGAAAAAGTAAGCCATGAGCTGTCGGCGCGTTTTCTTGAAGATACAACCGAACGACAGTCGAGACGATTATAATCTTTAAACAAAACTTTGTTTCACTTTTTCACAAATAGGTCATATCATTTACTGTCCTCACTCAAAGTTGCGATACGCTTTTCATGCTAATAATAAATTTATTAATTAAGAAAAACCCAATAAAGTTTAATAATTAAATGTTAATTTATAGGTTAAGTCGTAGAGGCAAGCGTGCGCATTAAAATACAAGGGAAAATTAAACGATTAAGCACTAAATGGAAATCATAAAAAGTT